AATAAAAACCTTCCCATTCACACCACCATTAATTCGATTTCGCTGTTTTTATTTACATTTTTTATATTTCCAATTAATTTACCACAGTTACAATATTTACTTCGAAATAATTTCATGGCTGTTTGTGGAACATTGCTGGGCGCAATTTGATCAGAATATCTGAAACTTCTGAGTTTCGTATAAAGAGTAACAATCATTTTAATAATAATCCTTCTATTTAATGTAGCTCCTAATGGTGCTGTTGAGACATCTCAAAGTGCTTCACAGAATATATATCAGTGCATTCACTGAGTATTTGTGCTCAGAATTCAGTAAATCAGTAAATTTTAATTGCTTGGTCCATAGGTGCAAGAGATTTGGAAGAATAATTATCCTAAAATTAATTTTTATCTATGAGAGAGCTTTTCACGTCGAGAGGAAATCTCAAAGCATTTCACAGGATTCACTGTAATGTTTGGCGATTTTGCAGTTTGTGGAGGAACCTATAGTTCCGCTACAAACAGTAGAGCTACTGTAACATGACATGTGACTGCCAGGATGGTGGAAGGCGAACTAGGTGGATCTTGATCTTCTTTTGCCTTGCAAATTCTTATATTCTAAAGCTCTTATAGCAGCCAGTTTTCCACACAGCAATGGACCACAAATATTCATGAAGCAAATAACCAAACTTCTCTGAGTGATTCATTGCACAGACATATCAAAGAAGAATATCTCTTTATTTTCGAATAGTAACACGGGAACCTTAATGTCCACCTCAGGAGGCAGAAGGGTCCTTTTTTAATATCTGATCGAAAGACCGGGAAGTCATAGTGTGATCCCTCAGCATCGCATTGGATTGTCAGTGGGACAATCTGAATAAATGCGTTCAGGATCAACTAACATATCAAACAGAGTAAAAGTTCCACTTACGTTGTTGGGTGGGGTGGGGGGAGTTGGGGGAGATATAAATGTTTGAAAGCATTGCTTGAAGCAATTATTATGCAAATCAAAACAAATTCAATACAAAATTACATTTGTATAGCACCTTTCACCTCGGTAGGATGACCCAATCATAAAATCATAGAATTACACAGCACAGAAGGACATGATTCTGCCAATCGTGTCTGTGACAGCTCTTTGAAAAGAGCTTCCAAATCCCACTCCCCTGCACACTCCTTATAGTCCTGTAAACTTGTCCTCCTCAGATAATTATCTACTCTCTTAAAATTTGTTATCGAATTGGCTTCCATCATCCTTTCAGGCAATGCTTTCCAGATCTGAATAACTCGCGACGTGAAAAAATTCACTTTAAATATTTTGAAACTCTTTTCCTTTATTGTTTTGTAGTTAAACTATGCTATAGTAAAATTACAATGCCACCATTAGAGAAAGATAAGGAAAAGCATCACTCGCTATCATTGTGATCTGTTGTTGAGTGTCTCCCTGAACCAGTTGCTGGGTATAACAAATGTTTCCTGATTGATTAATATGAAATATCTTGCAATGACTTATGACTTCTTGGGTCTGTGGTTCAAAAATGAGTTGGATGCGATTGGAAACAAAAGTGTTTTTGATTAGTAAGTAGAATCACTCCTCAGATTATCAGGACAAAGGGTGGTTAAATATTGCAATGACTTTTGTTTTCTGCGTATTGCATTATTTCTTAATTTTCATAGAAATCATTCACATTTATAATAAGTAACCAGATGATACTAAAGCTGAATTGCAGAGCTAAGGAAACAACATTCTCTTCAGTTTAATAATAATAATCATTGAATTTGATAGAGCGCCTTATCACGTTGTTGAGACTTCTTAAATTTCTTCACAGAATATATTGTCAACTTTAGATTTTGTGGGCGAAAAGTGATTATAATAAAGTTTAGTTTGTTGTAGCATAAAATTGATATTAAAACAATATTTACCAACAATTTTAGGCTACACCACGAGAATCTGACAAAACAAATGAAAGAAAACGGAGTCCATGGAGTGATCTTTAAGACAATTGCGAAGATTGGATTAAATTAAAGTTATGACCAAATGTATAATATTTAATCTGGAACTTTAGCTGTTAATCATTGAATGCATTACCATATTGAATGTCTTTCTATATTGTCTTGAAAGCTATTCAAAATCATGAATACAAACCTGATGATTTCAGTAACAATATATTATATATCAAGTTACAAAAATATTTAGTGGAAGTTTGACGATAGATATGACAGATATAAAATGTATTTTTTCCATTGTTACAGCAACATTTATGTTCCTTACAACTACTACAATCAGGTGAACAGCTTCTCTCTATAAACACAATTTAATATGTAGCTCTGGTAAGGCCTCAGCTAGAGACTGTGTTCATTTCTGGGCACCACACTTTAGGAAGGATGTCAAGGCACTGTTGAGGTTGCAAAGGAGATTGATCAGATTGTACTGGGAATGAGGGACGTCAGTTATCAAGAGAGGCTAGAGAAGCTAGGAGTATTCTCCTCGGAGCAGAGAAGGTTAAGAGGAGAAACTATAACCAATGGCTTGCTCGTCCGGAGATGTACCTTTGATGGAGGCAAGGGAGGGAATGTGGGATGGAGTACCAAAGTTTGGGGTAGAGAGGGTGAAGGCCCAACGGCCGATGGTGGGGTATGTGCAGCAGGCCAGAGCCCACTGAGCGAGAGAGTGGACAAATTGATAAGGGGTTAGCAGTTCACAGAGTAAGGAAGGGGCAAAGCCACGGAGGGCCTCGAAAGCGAGAGTGAGGGTTTTGAACTCTATCCGCTGTAAGGTTTGCCATAACACCAGTTTACTCAATACAAGTTGACACAATGATTCAAAGAAAAGGTCTTTATTCACACACAAGCAGCAGCAGTCTTTGCATTTATTCTGATATATTATCACATCAGTATACATTTTTATCCAACGTAACAATAGAAATGTATATTACATGTGATAACACCACACTCCAACTGGAGAAAGCAGTCCTTCCTTACGGAATACACTCCTCCTGGTCTCGAGTGTTTCTGCATACCTCTTCTACTTTGAGCTTTTATTTGTCATCCACTATTTTCAGCGCTGAATCTGCATACATTCATCCTTTTAATAATTATGTGTTACTTCTCTAAATCTCTCAGCACTACTACTCTCTTCCTGCCTCACGGATTTCAAGAAGGCTTTCTGCAGTAGGTGCAACCACATTTATCTAATCCCTTGATCATGCGCCATCCCCTAATAACCCCTCCTGATCTTGTCTCATTCCTTTGCCCCAAGCTTGATTCGCAAGTCTAACCCTTGGCCCCATTCTGAAACAGCTCTACTATTTGATGTTTCCCCTATCTCTGCACCTCTGAGGGATGGAGAAACAGTGCAACCGGGCAAGGGAGGTGGTGATTGGGTCACAGAACCAGGTGCAGGAGAGAACACGAGCTGCAGAGTTCTGGGTGATCTGCAGCTCGTGCAGGGAAGAGATGGGAAGGCCAAGAAGCAGGGAGTTGGTGTCATTGAGTCTAGATGTAATGAAAGTGAGAATGAGGGTTTCAGTGGCCTGAAGGCTGAAGCATTGGCAGAGGCAGGTGATATTGTGGACGTGGTTGAAGGCAGATCGGGTCATGGCACGAATGCGGGGGAGAAAGGACTTTTGAGGTTCAAACAAGATGCCAGGTGCCTGACTGGCTTAGTGAGGTGGAATATACATCCTTAGATGGTGATGCTGCCTTTGCCTAAAGTGTGGAGTCGCTGACAGGAGCCAATCAGGAGGGCCTCGTTGTTGTTCACGTTCAACCGTAAGAAGCGAACTCTAACCCAGGCCTTGTCCTGCCTTGATTCGATTCCAACATTCATTTGCCATCAAGTCACATTGAACCCAACTCAGCCAAAATGAGACAATGTTTGCTTCCTCCCTCCAAGGACAGTCACTGATTGGCAAATAGACATTCATCGAGCACAGGATTTAGTCTGCGCTGAATGGATAATAGATACCAGCAAAAAGCTGCAAACCTCTTAGTGAGCAGAACAACTAAGCATTAGATGTGTTTCAGCATAGCCTCCGCTCTCCTATGCCTCATGGGATCTCTTCGTACCTACTGAGCGATGACTGAAGCATTGAGTAAATCAACAAACACCACATTCAAGATGTTTTCTTTTCAAGCTACAAATGCAGCCATATCAGTTTAAAGTATAGCCTCTGAGGTGCTTTGATATATTGCGATGATTGGTTAAGACACATTTTCAAATTTGTAGATTATAAATAGATAGGAGTGTGAAGTAAACCAAACCCACTGTGCATTTCAGACTTCACCTGTAGTGAACCAAGACAAAGGCGAAGAGGTGCAGAATGATATACCTCTACGTTTTCACATAAAATATGCAAAATGTGCACAATATCTACAGCCACTTCACTACTCTTTGAGAAGCAATTCATAGAAACGCCGCTCATAGATGGAATATCAACTGTGCTCTATTTTTAATCTGAGTGAGCGAATGTCTTGCAATGGAATCATTTTTGATATTTTCAAATACAGCAGAACAATTAGAGTTTCATCACTTAGTTGTTTCATGTTGATTTTTTTTTGCAATTCAAACACATTTCAACAGTTCAACGCCCACGCATTAACTTTTCACAGATTTGTATGAATTGCGCCATATTTTGTTGACCTGCTTTTACAGTAACCCATACCACCTGTTTTTTTTTACTAATGTTGATGAGGCAGAGTGACCAGAGGAGATGGATTCACGCAATTTATGCTTATTTTTATTGTAAGGCTGATTCAACATGTTGTACAAAACAGAAGTTCCTATCTTTATTTTCAGGTTCTAGTTTTGTAGCAGTTAAAGGGCATAACAAACCATACAACTAACTGGTTACATTTAAAAACGTTATCAGACAAACACAAAAAAACTTGTTCTCAATTAAGTATGGTTATAAAGATAACGTAACCAATATTTTCCAAAAATTTTCCTAAAGACAAATCATGTAACAAACTAATCAATACACTTATGGTTGAAACAGGAGCAAAGAGCATTGCAGCACGAGACCAATGTGGCACATCATTGGGTAAATTGGAAAAATACATTCAATATACACCAATATCAGTTTCTGCCCCTGTTGCATTACTTGGAACTTGGTTCCCTGCAGATAGCCTCTGCTGCTCCACCGTGGTTTCTCACATGGAGCTCTGCATACGCTGTATCCTTAAGGTATCTTTTAGGTTTTCCTGGTTTTTTGGGTGAATGTGTATCCAGATCATCACACGTCAGATTGTTCCTGGCTGCCCTTTACTTGGTCTAAAAAGTCAATGTTTGAGAATTTAATTACATTAATTAGTTTTTCCTCAGTTGTCAGAAATCCACTCGAGTTTATTATTTGCAGCACCGCTTGCAACATAGTTACATTAGAATACATAGAATACATTAGAATATACAGCACAGGAGCAGGCCATTTGGCCCAACTGGTCTATGCCAATGTTTATGTTCCACATGAGCCCCCTCCTGAGAAAAGTGTGCAAGCGTGTTCAGCCTTTCCTCTCAGTTCTGGGATCATCCTCGTGAATCTCATTTGTACCCTCTACATCCCTTCTTTAATGTGGGGACCAGAACTGTACACAATATAAGTGTGATCTATCGAAGGTTCTATAGAAGTTTACCATAACTTCCCTGCTTTTCATTTCTATCCCTCAAGAAATCAAGCCCAATGCCTGGTTTGCCTTTTTTATGGCCTTATTAAACTGCGTGGCTAGTTTTCGTGAATTGTGCATATGTAGCCCAAGATTCCTTTGCACCTCTAACGCATTTAGGTTTTCATTTTCCAGGATGTATGTGACTTCCTTATTCCTTCTCTCAAAATGTACCACCTCACATTTTTTTACATTGAAATGCATTTGCCATTTAAATGCCTATTCAGCAAGTTTATTAATGTCAAGCTGTAATCGTTTTGCAGTTCTCCTCTGTATTAACTATTTCCCCCTATTTGGTGTTGTCTGCGAATTTTGAAATCATTCTTCTGATTCCTGAGTCGAAACAGTGGTCCCAATACCGATCGCTGTGGAAAACCACTGCACATCCTCTGCCAATCATTTAATAAAGGAACTGATCCTCACAAAACTGAGCTAAACAGAATGCAGTGGCAACAATTCTGTTCCTTATTGGATTCGTTGCGCATCAAAACCAACCATGGGTTTGGAACGAAAAGTGAAAATCAGCCCAGGTAGCAGTTGTTCAAATGATTGCTAAACAATGGCAGATTGGTTCCATCATTTCATAGACAAGTTCAGCGACACAGAGAGAAAAGATCAGTGGAGAAAGCAAGATTAACCACAGAAATATACAAGCTAGTTTATAATAAACAATCAAGTGAGATCCAGCATACATAATGCAGTAAATTCTCAGTTATACCTGGGCGTACACAGTTCTCTCGTCTTGTTTGTTATTTCTGGGAGTTTTCTTGCAATGATTCAAATCCACTTTGGCATAAGTCACCGGCTCATTCTTTGCTCCCTGCAGCGTCTGTAAAACAGAATTGGATAGATCGTTGGCTTCACTACTAGTCTGGAGAGTCTTGTATAAGTATTAATCAAAAATGCCTGTAAGAATATTAAATATTTAACATATAGCTTCCAAATATTTTACCAGTGAAAATCACCAGTGTAGCAGTTGTTCATTGAATTATGGAAATATGGGCTGTGCATTTCCCAGTGCCTCATAGATTGACACAGACAATACATAATCTTACACAAGAAAAATAACTATTTGACTACACAGTAGCGGATTGTTACCATCATATCACAGCCCAGGATGGCGCCAGAAAGTGAAGATTAGAGGACAAGGAAAGATTAACCACAAAAATGTACAAACTATCTTACAGTAAACACTGAAGTGAGTCCCACTCTTTACCGAAGCAAGAAAGTTCAATTGGATAGAAAAGGTTTCTGTTTTGATTTACTGTTTTGATATACCTGGGCGTACACAGTCCTCTCCTCTTGTTTTTTAGGTCTTGGAGTTTTCTTGGAATTATTCAAATTCAATGCAACATAAGCCACCGGCTCGTTCTCTACTCCGCGCTTTGTCTGTAAAACAGAATGTGATCACAACAAGAAAAATACATGACATTTCTATTGTGCCATGCAAGTTGGAATGACATCCTATGGCACTGATAGGTTGTTGACTTTACCGTTTTGAAAATTGTTGTGGAAGTACTGATCAGAAAGGCCTCGAGAGTAAATCTTTTCATTGAAGTTGACAATATTTAACATATAGCTTCCATATGTTTTACAAGCAGTTATAGTTTTATTAATATTCTGTCATCATTGCATGAAAGTTTGCGCGTAATGTTTCAATAATACATTGAGGCCATGTAAATGCATGTATGGAATATATTTAAAATGTTGTTATTTCTTAATCGTGAACAATATCTTTCCATTACAAGTATTCTGTTTTCAGCTGAAACGTCTGCTGAAATGATTTTAACACATTTACCTGTTCTTCGCAATAGCCCGATCTGTTCTGGTGACTGCGTGAGCCTTAGAAAGAAATTCAATACATGAAGTATTCACTCAATATCCACGTAAATAATTTCAAATATATTTTGTTCTGACCAAATGAAAAGCGATTCGAAGCCCACAAATGGCCAAAGTCTGCTTGTAAAAAACGTAGTCGTCTTCCAGAAAACTGCCATTCTTTATTGACGATTAAGGCTGCCCATCTCAACAGCATCAATCCACGAGACATGAATAGTGCTATAGAAATGTGAATTTATATTGTACCATTAAATATTTCCATACATCCCTATGGTAAATATTTCCCTTACTCGCTTGTTTCCCTATTTAAAAAAAATGAACTCTTTTGTCACATTTTCCAGGAATATCTTGAAAATGGCACGCAATCTACTGTTGAGAAATCGTGTTTTACCACATTGGGAACAGAATCCTGAGTTCTACAATTGCATTTCTGCTGATACCTGATGCTTTTTTTTTCACCATTATATACACAATCTGGATTTTGGTATTTCGGGAACAATTTCTAAGTTTGCTGATTAGAAAAAAGTGCTAGAGTGAAGAAGATCGAAATTTGATTGAAGAGATATAAGAGCCAGCAGATTGCACAGAGACTGAGAGATGGCAGGTGAAACTGGACATTTTGGGATGTGAAAGGCGGAATCTGCATTTTCTAAAATAATGCATTTTCTAAAATTTATTGATGGTAGCGGTAAGCGGAAAAACAGGTGAATGACACGTGAATTCTTTGAAGAGCGAACAGAGAGACTATGGGCTAAATTGCCTTCTGTGCTGTAAATTTCTCTCGTTCAACCACAACAGATTTCATATATTCTTTGTATGGAAATTTCCGATGAAGCATGCAGTTAAATATATACAGGGTGAGTTTCTGTGAGGATATTTGCATTTGTCACATCAATCACAACACATTAATCATTGACGCAACTATACAGGATGTCAGGTTTTCGTCACTGTCACATCTAATTTATTAAATTAATTGTTCTAATAAAAAACATTTACAATTAACTTAAATAAAATAATATATCTCACCTTTCCTTTTGTTTAATTGGCATTGTTTCCCAACGATGATCAAAAGCAGCAGAAATACCAGCCCTCCAGCTGTACCTCCAGCGATCCATTTATAATGATCCTTAGCTACAAGAACAGCATAAGCTGAATGTGTTAGTGATCCCAGGAATGAGGTACAGCTTCAGTCACTGTGCAGTGCATCAGATTGGTGGAAGTTATCAAATGACGAAAATGTAATAACCGATTTCAAAGGAATTATTTTCAATGGAGGTTCGGCAAGAAAACGATTATGATGACAATTTTCTGAATAAATAAATGTAAATATATTTTGAAAAACAATTCAGTTAACAATAAATGTCTTCAGGAAATTACCTGCGTAGGAATTAGAAACTGTGTTTAAATCAATTGACACACAATTTCCAGTAATAAGGTGTTTAACAACAAAAAGACATTAACGAAAGTAGGCATCTTACCTTCCAGTGCTGTGCTGGGGTTAGAAACGGTGAACTTGACAACCGCTGGAACCCGAAGGCTGATATGTGATACCAGACAGAGATAAACAACTCCGTTCTGTACAGACTGTGTCTCTTCCATAGAACTCGAAACTTTGTAAAGTCCCTTTGAATTCTTTTCTTTGGTGTCATTTATCCCAGTTTTAACTTCATTGCCATTTTTATACCAAGTCAGCGTTACATCTCCCGGAAAAAACTCAGCCGTTTCACACACAAGTGTCAGAGACTTTGATGAATCTCTTTCAGAAGCTCTGGGGAATATCTTCAGTGGGGTTGGGGGGACTGTAGGGCAGACAGTGGGGCAGAATCACGTTACTGGTGATCAGTTGAATTATAAAACTTTATTTCACTTAAATTGTATAATAACTTTTCTTGGAACTTTATAACAAGGAATCTGGATTGTAACGGCAAGAAAGTGCAGTTTTAAAAATTGTTCGCGTCTTTTGTTTGGAATGATGTGTTCAGTTTAGGAGTTATAGTAGCCTTGGAGGGGCTAAAGAAGTGAAGGAGTTCATAATCTTAATATTGTGGTCTCAGAAATGAAATGGAACCCTTCTCATCACATGGAATATTGTGATGTTGTGTACTCCAGTCCCAAAATTGGCCTTAGATGCAGAGTTAAGTTGGATATTTATATTTATAAGGGTCATAGATAATACTTTTAAAGCATTTTGAGAGTGGTGGATAAACTGGACTAAAATCTCTGGCACCATTCTAAAGCAACAACAACCTGAATATATATAACGTTCTTCACACAGGATAGTGACTTTGGATGCAGATTTAAATGGAGATTTCACAATGAATGGAGACATAAGCAAATCCTCCCCATTCACACCAACATTCATTTTGTTCTGCTGTATTTCTTTAAATTCTATAAGTTTCCAACTAATTGATGACAGTAACAGAAGGTAATTCAAAACCGTTTCATGCTATTTGTGGAATATTGATGTGCGTAAAATGTTCAGGTTTTAGACATATATGAAAATCAGTAAATTGTAATTGCCTGGCCGCAGGTGCAAGAGGTTCTGATGAATAATAATCCTAATAATAATTCTTATATTCGATGGATCTTTTCATGCCGAGAAGATCGTCTCAAAGCATTTCACAGGATTCACTGTAAATTGTGGCGATTTTGCATTTTTGTGGAGGAATACAGCAGCCAGTTTTCCACACAGCAATGTACCACAGATAGTCATGAAGTACATACCCAAATTTAACTGGTGGATTCATTGTCCAGAACACAGCGAAGAAGACTAACACTTCTATTTACAACTAGTACCACGGGATCTTTAACATCTGTAGGATTCTGTAATTATTGTGTTAAATAATATCTCAAATGCTTGGAATTGCGAAACATATTCCTGCTTCTAAAGAAGGAAGATCATGATTACGAGTTAAACAACTCTAAACGTACAAAAATACTTGGATACTTTTGGGTGATATTGAACTGGAAACTGTACAGAAATACCTTGATACTTTTTGATGGAAAAATACTTGGATTAAAATGGACGTTAAATTGGACATTGCTCCTCTATCTTTCCCGCAGCATTTGATGTGATCAACTTGAATCATTGTGAACTGCGTTATAACCGGACCCTTAAGCATAATTGGATGTATACTTTTAATTACTTATAACCATTATTAATCTGAATGAATAAAGATTGATTAATTGTACAATATTTGTGACAGTACTTACTTCACCGCAGTGTCATGAATTTAAAGTAACCGTTACATATCCACCTCAACAATCACAAGGGACCTCGGTTTAACGTTTCACCCAAATAGTGGGAATCCACAGATCGATTCCCTCGCATTGCATTGAATTATCAATCTCCATACATGATTTCAGGATAGAACCAATAATAATCCCTCCAAAACCAAAAACAATAATAAATTGGTCATTTTCAATCTACTTTGTGGGACATTGCTGTGCGCAATTGGCTGCTGCGTTCTCCCACAAATCTACAGTCAATTCACTTTACGGTGTGTTCTGTGAAGCACTTTGGGCGTCCTCCTCACGTGAAGAGCGCTATATCAAATGCAAGGATTATTATTTTATTAACCAAATATCAGAGTAAAGTTCTAGTGATTGCGGTATGGAGGGAAATAAATGTTTGCAAGCATTGCTTAACGCAATTATTCAGCAATTCAACTTCCCATTTTGCTGGGGTTGATATGCTCGCCGGCTCAGATCAGTACAATAACGAAGGGGGAAAACTTTGGTTGAATAATATTCTGTTGTTCAATGTGTTTCATATTGAAATTAAACCTGTTCCTGTGTGCTGTGGAATCTTGTTTTTGGATGAGAGTAGAGAATTAAACAAATCATTTACCCCATATCGATTTCACAATGTGGCAATACTCACCTTTCAACATTCTCTGTCACTATTGTACTCACACTTACCGCGTACAGTTAAACGTGATCCAGTTCCATTTCCTACTGCTTTCCCCAGTTGGATTACTGCACAGAGATAGACACCTGAGTCGCGGAAAGTCACATTTAGGAGCTGGAATGTTTGGGAATTGAATATTTTCCTGTTGTCAGGTTTTGTGTTCAAGTATTGACTCTCTCCTCGTTTCCACCAGAAAACTGTAATGTCTGAACTTTGTTGATCAGTGACAGCCCAGCAGGTGAATTTAACGTTGTCACCTCGCAATGCTGTCGTTGCTATAGGATATTGACGCACGTCCATCGATGCATCACCTGGAACTGTCATGAAATGAATTAACCTATAATTAGTGATTAAACAGAGGAATAAACGCGACAAAATCAAATGCAGAGAGCGAGAGAAAGATGGGAGAAAGTTCGAGGAAAAAAAGTATTTTCGATACAAATTTTAGAACTTTTCATCTATATCATTTTGTATTAAAATGTGCTGCAGTAAAGTTACATACCTGTGGCAATAATCCCTATTAGACAAATATAGGATATCACATCACTCGCCATCATTGTGATCGGTTGTTAAGACTCACCCTGAACCAGTTGTTAGGTGTAACAAACGTTTGCTGACTGTTTAATATGAAATATCTCGCAGTGTCGTTTAACTTCCTGTGTCTGTAGTTCAGAGATGAGTTGGATGCGATTGGCAAAGAAAGTTGTGCCTTTCAATAGTAAGTGGAATCACTTCTCAGATCGGCAGGAAAAGGGAGGGTTAAATATCGTCATTGTCTGTGGTTATTTTCTGGGTATTGCATTATTTCTTAAGTTTCATAGTAAACATTCACGTTTATAATAAGTAACTATAAGAAAATAAAGCTTAAATACAGAGCTAAGGAAACAACATGCTCTTCAGTTCAACAATGATGATAATCCTCACATTTGATTTATTGCCTTATTAGGTTGTATATACTGTAAAGTGAATTGACTGTACATTTTGTGGATGAAACGTGAATAAAGCAAAGGTTAGTTTGTTGTAGCCTAAAACTGAGATTAAATAAATTTCCAGAACCCAGAGATACCCAGAGAACCGGTTTCACTTCAGGAGCAATTCTATGAGATCATTAACTTACACCTGAATAGGCAGTGAGGACCTCGTTTCAAGGTCTCCATAAGATCATAATACGTAGTTGCAGCCATTTGGCCCCTCGAGGCTCTCCCGCAATTTAATAAGATCATGGCTGATCTTCTAACCTCATTCCATTTATCCGCCCTTTCTCCATATCCCTTAAACCCCCTATCCTTTCGTACTCATCTAAAGGATAAGAACAACTTGGATATATATAGCGCCCATCACATGGGATAGTGACTCCGAGGGTCTGCAACAACAGCTACGACAATGCAGAACTCAGCCATTACAGTATTGGTGCTTCAGCCTAGAATTTTAGCTCAATGTTTCGACTTTCGACTTGAACTGACAAACTTCTGATTGAGAGGGAACATCAGAACCGTGTTGAGAGAAGGGAAAGATAGAGCGGAAATAAAGATGATATTTGTCCCTGTGATGACCATCACACGTTAGCAGATTTGAGTCACTTTTTTCTAGAATTGTCAAACACCGATTTATGCCTCGAGGCGTCCACCCGATTTGAAAGGCTGTATACAAATGAAATTTGTTGTTGTTGATTTCTGAGATTAAGTGGTGTGGAGAAAAGAAAGGAGCAAAAGAGGAAAACATTGTAACTGTATCGAAATGAACTTGCAAACATTGATGGATCCTGAGTTATAGGATGAACAGATAAGTTTAAACATCATATATGTAAGACAGACAGGTACAGTAAGACAACTTTCATTATGTCTGATTTTGATGGATTGGAACACGCGATATGTATTATGATAGAGAGTTGGTTGCTGTGACACTGATTTCCGGTTCCTTTGAGTTTGTGAAATGTAGCTGGTGAGGTGGGTGCAATGTGAAACCACACGTCTACAAAAACAATGTGAAAATAACAACACATCCTATTTATAGCAGAGAAAAAGCTGCACACCTATCTAAACATGAAGAAAAAGGTTCAGTGTCAGTATTGAGCTTGCGGTGTTCTCTGCAATGGAAAAGGTTGTTTTGATCATCAAGGCATCGAGTTAGTAGTTTCAGTAACATACCAATTCAGTGGAGTACCTCTTCTCAGAGAGAGAAACTGAGTCAGAGAAAGAGACAGAGAGATGAAGAGAGTGACTGGGAGAGAAATAGAGTGATTGAGAGAGAAAGAGAGAGAGAGAGAGAGAGGGGGGAGAGAATGTGCGAGAAAATATAAAAAGTGTCCTCCCACAGAGTCCTCCCAAAAGGAGTTCTGTCCGAGGACAGAGCGAGGACCATTCTATCCATTATGGTTTTGGCCTCCAGAGTTAGCAAGAAGATATCTCGCTCTCAGTGATAGATCTGAACAGACTTGACTGCAGCATTCTTTCGCCAACCAAAATACATTGGATGTATGTCAGCCACAAGGAGACTCGGTTTGCTTCCTCCCATCAAATCCAGTCTTTCGTGGCAATTACATAACCATTCAGTGGCAGTTTACAGTCAGCATTGTATGGATAACAGATACCTGGAATTCCCTTAGAACCTCTTTGTGAGCAGTACAACTAGGCATTGAATGTGTGAGAGAATAGAGCCCCAACCTCATGCTCCTCTTGGCACACATTGGTAACAATTGACTGTTGGCTGAACCAGTTGTCCCGGTGCTGTTTCACTGAAGTATTGAGTGAATCAATGAACAATAAACAATCTCAAGATTTTTTTAAATAAAAGTTTCTGTTAAAGCAGAGCAAACAGACAGTATCGCCCACAACACACACAGCTACAAAACTTATATCCTGCAGTATATGCTGCAAAACACTTTCTGACATTGTGACCACGTGATAAGGTACAGTATCAAATTCATAGTTATGATGAGATATGACTTTGAAGTAAACTCACAGCACAGCTCTGGCTGCACTTGTGGTGAACCAGGACAAAGGCGTAGATCTCCAGAACGTCTCATGTCGTTAGACCGCACATCTGACATTGCACTAATAGTGAAATATTGTGCCCAATAGGTGCAGCTACTTTGAAAAGCAATTAATGCGAAAGCCACTAATAAATAGAAATGTTTAATGAAGTACTCTATTTTGAATTTGAGAGAGTGATTCACTTGTAATGCAATTAATTATTGACATTTTCAAAAACAGCAGAACCATTGGGGCTTTATCTCTTAGTTGTTCATGTCAGCTCTATTCTTAGCAGATATGGTCAACGCCCATACCACAATTTTTCACTGGGTTGGATGATTTGCACCATATGTTGTTGACCAACTTTTACACTAGCCTAAGTGTTGTTTCACTGATACTGAAGAGACAGAGTGACTGCTTCGAACAATTTCTGTTTTTATTGATTAAAAGGCTGATTGAACGTGTTAAACAATAGTTCTTAAACTACATACACTGGGTTTAGTTTGTGGCTGTTAAAATGCTATTTTTTAATGAAATTATTCAGTAGTGACTTTTACAAATCTTATCTGATTCATATCAAAAATACCTTTGGCAATTAATTATGGATTATAAATATAGCCAGCAATATTTTTCAAGAGATTTCCAAAAGATATATAATTTATTAATAAATGCAGTTATGGTTGAATCAGATGCTGAAAGAAAATCAGCACAGAACTAAGATGCAAATTACTTGGTATGGTGGAAAACTACATCAAATATATACCAATACCCGTTTCTGCGCCTGTTGCTTTATTTAGAATCCTGCAGTTAGCTGCTGCTGCTCCTCCGTGGTTTCTCAAATGTAGTTCTGCATACTTTTTATTCTAAAAGGTACATTTAGGTTTTCCTGGTTTCTTGGAAGTTTATAAATCCAGAAAAGCACACGTTAGATTGTTCCCGGCTGACCTTTGCGTGGTCTGAGAAGGCAATGTTTGAGTACTTAATTACATTCATTTGTTTTTCTTCAGTTTTCAGAAATCTCCTCAAATATTTGCAAATTTGAATATGTTACAGCCTTGCCACATAGATGTCTAGTTACTCAACTATAACTAGTTATGATAAGTTACTCCTCCTTACAGAACTCAGATAAACAGATTGCAGCAGACACAATAAAAAATACAATGCAAAATTACATTTGTATAGCGCCTTTCACATCAGGAGGAAGTCCCACTGCAATGGAAAGTCAGGGATTTGGAACCGAGTTATGGGGGTTAGGATCATGGAGGGTGGAGATCACGGAGGTTAGGAGGGTGACTGAAAACATGGTGGAAGAGGTGGATGTTCAAGGAGGCAAGGGAGAGAATTAGGTGGAGGGACTATGGGATAAAGTAGGGGCAGAGAGGCTGAAGGTCCATCCGCCAATGATGTGTCGGGAAAGCGGGGGACGTGAAGCTGGCCAGAGCCCACTGAGCAGAAGGAGTGGACATGTTGGTAGGCATTTAGCAGGTCACAGAAGTGGGGAGAAACAAGACCATGGCGGGCTTTGAAGCTGAGGACCAGGATCTTGAAAGCTATCCTCTGAGTGATGGGGAGCCAGTGGAGCCAGGCAAGGATTGGAATGATAGGGATGCGGAGTCAAGTGTAGATGAGGACATGAGCTTCAGTGCTCTGGATTATCTGTAGCCTGTGGAGGATGGAGTTGTGGAGGGCGACAAGCAATGACTTTTTTTTAATCCACCCTGGATGTGATCAATGGTTGATCAGGGCCTCGGCGGCCTGGGGTGAGAGAAAGTGGCAGAGCTGCAAAATATTGCGGAGGTGGTGAAAGGCAGAGCGAGTTATGGCACAAATGTGGGGGCTGAAGTATAGTTGAGGAGAAAAGTACGCCAAGGTTCCGAATTGGATCCGTGAGGTATAGAGTCCATCCATGAAGGGTGATGCTGTCAGTGCCAGTGGTATGAATGCGCTTACCATAGCCAAGCAGGAGAGTCTCCGTCATGTTATATTCGACTGGAGGAAGCTTGCTCTCATCCATGACTTGATGTCCGTCTGTGAGGACAGCAGTGCTCCTATTAATAACAATAATAATAATAATAATAATAATCCTTGCATTTGATATAGCGCTTTTCACATCGGGAGGACGTCCCAAAGCGCTTCACAGAACACACAGTAAAGTGAATTGACTGTATATTTGTGGGCGAACGCGGCAGCCAATTGCGCATTTGATAGAGCACCTTATCACATCATCGAGTCATCTCAAAGCGCTTCACATGATATACTGCAAAGTGTAGTGACTCTATATTTTTATTGGTTCAGAATTAGTTGCACGTCGATATCAACCATTGGCTAGGAAATAAAATTGAAAATCAACCAATGTAGCATTTTTTCATTGATTTGCAGAGAAGTGGTTTGTTCAGATCTCTGAATGTGATGTCCCAGTGCCTCATAGATTAATACACGCAATAACGAGTCTTACGCAGAAGGCACAATTATCTGTCTGAACGGTGGCGGATTGCTGCCACCATATCACAGCTCAGGTCAGCGACAGGGAGAGAAAATATTAGTGAGGAAAGAAAGACTAACCACAGGAAAAAACAACAGTTGATAATAAACAATGGATTTTTGCTGTATATAATGATAGTAATAATAATCCTTGCATTTGATATCGCGCCCACAATGTAACATTGAGTTTATTTGAAGTTTTCTATTGAATGAT